ACTAGGAGGAGGACTCCTCCTTGGCGCGCCTATAGGGCCGGCCGGCCTCCTCCCCTTGCTCCTTTATATACAGGGGCAGGGGGCACCCCTAGACACACAAGTTGATCCACGTGATCATATTCTTAGCCGTGTGTGGTGCCCCCTTTCACCATAGTCCTCGATAATATTGTAGCGGTGCTTAGGCGAAGCCCTGCGACGGTAGTGCGTCATGATCGTCACCACGCCGTCGTGCTGACGGAACTCTTCCCCGACACTTTGCTGGATCGGAGTCCGGGGATCGTCATCGAGCTGAATGTGTGCTAGAACTCGGAGGTGTCGTAGTTTCGGTGCTTGATCGGTCGGGTCGTGGAGACGTACGACTACATCAACCAAACGCTTCCGTTGCGATCTACAAGGTTACGTAGATCACACTCTCCCACTCTCGTTGCTGTACATCACCATGATCTTGCGTGTGCGTAGGAAATTTTTTGAAATTACTACGAAACCCAACAGACAACACATCTACAAGGATCACACTGATTTCAAGAATGCAACAATCAAAATTATAAAGCGTCTAGCGGGTGGCCGTTGGCCCGCTAGCGCTCCGGAGTGGCCGGCCGAAAAAGGAAATATTATCTTCCTAATCTAGAAATGGTAATAGTTGGTCCCCTAATTCATATTAGAAAAAATGAACGGATATGAATATGTGTGAACAAAAAAAGTAAGAAATAATTGCAAAGCACCCACGTGAACAGGTATGAACGCATTTAATTCGGTTTTTCAAAATTTTAAAAGACCATAACTTTCAAACCGTGCATCAAAATTAAGATCTGTTTTCGCGACGTTCTCTTCGAAACTATATCACGCATGGGTATGTTTCGACGAATTTTTTTGTGCAATTTTGGCCCCGTTTTGTGCAACTGCCTAGCCGTCAATGTGCAACTACCTGAGAGTGGATGTGCAACTTTTCTCCTACCCTATAGACGTGCAATTTTCAACGATGGTACCTCCGTCCCCGAACTACCTCCTTCCGATGAGATATGCAACTTTGTCTGTTACCCAGACCAACTGCATAGTAGTTGATGTGCAACTTGCCCACTGTCTATGGATGTGCTTTCACTGTTTATTGCATCAGCCAACAGCCTAACAGTGGATGTGCAACTTCGGATACTACCATGGGCAACTGTCTAACAGTGATGTGCATCTTTCTCTCGTACCCTCCGTGAATGTGTAGTTTCCCAGTTTCCCTACTAGCACCTGGCCCAAACCACCCCTTTTAGTGAGATGTGCAACCTTACGCACTGTTTATATGCAACTTTTCACTACCCTCATGAATATGCAACTTTTCATTATCCTCATGAATGTCAAATTTTCACCATTCAAGTATCCCTGCGTGTGACATTTGCAACTTTGTATGCTGCCCTGAACAACTACCTAGCAGACTATGTGCAACTCTGTTTGTGGTCCCCGCCAACTGAAAATACATATCCACAAGTAAGGAGGGGAGAGAGTTGCACATTGACTAATAGGTAGTTGGCTTGAACAACACACTAAAGTTGCATATATCCCTAATAGAGGAGGTGGGGTAGGGTGTGTCAACGGTGAAAAATTACACATCCACGAATAGAGAGAGGGGTTGCACATCGACTACTAGGTAGTTGGCCGGGGCAGTAGACTAGTTGTACATCAAAGTTGTTATGGTTGTTAGGTTGCAACATCATAGAAAGTTGAATCATGCAGCTCCAAAAAAAGGTTTTGAAAAAAATTACACGATGTAGTACTAAAATTGCACAATAGAGTAGTTGGCATCGGAAAAATTTGTACGGGCAATGTGAGCGCGAGTATTAATTTAAACAAAAACATCATCTAGCCAGCTTATATCGTCGTGTTATGCAACTTTTCAATGATCGTATCCAACTTGAGCTACTACCATAACCAACTTAGTACACACTATGTTATACGAAAGCCCTCCTCTTCGAGCTCCTCCACATATCTTAGCCGAATGTTCTAGTTGGAGCAGAGTGCTCCATGCATCAAATCATACGGGGTGTGAATATAGATCATAGTAGAGAAAGCCAGCAATTAATATACTCCCATTATTAAACAAAGCTTTCTTACATCGGTTAGTTTCAGTCTTTCAGAGTTCATCTCTTTTATACAAGAGCGTACATCTTATACCATGCTGCTACATTTCCACACAACCTGTAGTTGGTGTGGTGTGAACTCTTATCGCCACAACAACATGTAGACCCAAAAAAATCTTCTCAAAAGTTGTAGTTGGAGCAGAGTGCTCAATCACTTGAGTATGAGCAGCGAACCAGAAATCACAAAGGGGCCTAAATTTCCAGAACAGAAGGAGCCCCGCACTGCGTGCCTTCGATTGGAAGGAAACAGCAGGAGCAGAAATACTGGGCTCTCAAGTGCGAGCCCAGCCGCGCCCGAAGTAACCCTCCCGAGGCAGGATCACTGACGAACCAACAGAAAGGGAAACCTCCACAGATTAGAGAGACCGGTAGCACGGCCATGGCGACGTCGAGGTGGGGAGGGGCTCCCCTCATCGTGGATCCCAGGCTCCCCTCAACGGAGAGGAGCACGGCCCGTGGATCTGGTGGTCGTACGAGTGTGGGCTAGGCCTCCACTGCAGCTCGGGGACGGGAGATGGTGGTGGCTGGCGCCGTCAAGGAGGAAGGCCGGTGAGGATCTATTCCAGATTTGCGGTGGCGGGGGAGAGAGAGAAGAAATACTGCAGGGAGCACCCACACGTCCTCCATGTCGCCGGATTGTAGTGGGGAGGTTGTGGACCGCACCAGCGGCTGGGAGGAGCCGGGAGGGGGAGCTCGGGGACGAGCCAGAGGAGGAGGCTCGGCCGGCTGGGTGGGGTGGGAGATGACGGATGGTTGGGCAGCCGACCAGGTGGCACCTGAAGTCGGACGCACGTGCCGACCAGGTGGCACCTCGTGCGGTTCCAGCCGGCCGCTCGATCGCGTAAAATCGTGCGTGTGCACTTTTTAAATTTTAGGAATTATAAATAGCGTAGGAATTATAAATAGCGTCCAAGGAGCTAAACACTTGAAGCATAAGGACATAAGAGCAACTCCAACGGGCCGATCTAAACGGACGGCGTTTTTGTTCGTTTTTTGTCTGTTTGGGTTGGCCGCCCGCCCGCTGTCCGTTCTTTTTTAGTTTTGAGTCGGCAGTGCGCTCAACGGGCTGACCCATTTTCATGACCGCGCGCGTTTAACATCGTGCCGTCGCCCTGATTTTGACGCTCCAGCACGCGGGAATGGTTCGCGCACGCTGGTTTTGGCGCTCCAGCGCGCGGGAAAGGTTCACGCGCGCGCCGCGGCCGGCGCTCGCTATAAAAGAAGGCGCTCCCTCCACACTCTGTCGGCCGCCCACTCTCGCCGCCTCTGCGCCACCATGTCGATTCGCCGCCTACGCGCTTCGGATTTTCGCGGAGTCCGCGAGCGCCGCTCCGGCGCCTTCTCCGCCGAGATCTGATTTCGCGAGAAACGTCTCGTCCTCGGCACCTTCGACACTGCAGAGGAGGCGGCCCGCGCGCACGACGCGGCGGCGTGGTGCCTCCTGAGGCCTCGTCGTGATATGAATTTTTCCCAACGTGTCGAGCCAACGGGCGCAGGATCTGGCGCCTCTCCCGCGGCTTTTCACCGACGAGGATCGCCGTGTCCATCGGAGGCGGCAGCGTGGCCTCGCCATCGCAGAGAAGGACGTGGAAGCCTCGGTGCTGTGGCGAGGAGGCTACCTGCAGGACATCGTCGACGAGCGCTAGTTCTATAAGCAATTGAGATCGGAGAGGGACGCGAGGAGGGAGCGAGCCGCCTATCGGGAGGACAAGCGTTCGCGGAAGCAGACAGCTCAATTGAAACTGAAGCTACAAGAAACATCGGGTTGAGACTTTGAAGACGAGCAGCTTGCTGACGCCTACCTTCAAACGTCGGAGGAGGACATTACCGAGTCGGAGTCAGAAAGCGACGAGTAATGGTCTTTTTCTTTTATCTGTGTATACTAAAACTATCTATGTATCCATTTTAATCTGAAAAAATGGCCGGTGGCATCGGCGACGTAGCAGGCGGGCAAGTGTGTGAATCCAATGTGCCACCGACTAGCGGGGCCGGTGAGGAAAGAGGGCGAGCGCGCGCGCGTCCGTCTTGTGTCCGCGCCAACGCAAATCAGCCTAAAAAATGGACTGGAAATGGGTCGGCAGGTAGACGAAAGCGGACGCGCGTTCGTTTGGGTCAGCGCGTTGGGCCGGCTTTTTTGTCCGCGCCAACCCAAAACAGACGGCCGCGGACAAAATGAGTCGCTCCATTGGAGTTGCTCTAAGGACATTGACATGGATATAGCTCTGATTTTATTGCTAAATGGATTTTAACAAAGACATTTGCCTCACAAAATTTATCTGGAAGCTCAATCTAGAGAAAACAAATGCCCCTATTTTTGCTCAAATGTACACTCACATAAGCTGATTCTGAGCTCAACAATGACCAAAACCGTCAAAACAACTGGAAAGGCATCTATCCAGCATCGCAATTGAGGAACTTCCACTGTAAAGAGCGGAAATATAAATCAAAATAAATATGGTTTTAATCATCTGTGGAAGCTAAACCTGTGGTTCTTTACCTGAACCTAAACACAGTCAAGATCATCAAAGGTAAGATGACAATGACATCACAGGCAGTACCAAACATCTTCAACTTGAAAGCAAGAACATTACTACTCCCTCCGTCCCAAAATATAAGAACGTTTTTAACACTAGCATGGTGTCAAAAACGTTCTTATATTCCGGGACAGAGGGAGTACTATACAAATGACCAACATTATTCTCCCCCCAAAAGGAAAAGAAAAGCGACTTGTTATCCTACCAAAACAATATAATTTACACGTGGACTAAAACGCCGCAGGACAATAGTTACAGGCCATGCACATGCGTGGAACCAGCTAATCGGCATAACAATGCTCCCAGGCTGCTAGCGTATGCACTTCAGCACTTCAACTTTGCTCTAGTCAAGAAAAAAGGCCACCATATCTTTCAGGCTGCTCTTCTTTTTCGCCACAGGTGCCCCCTGCACTTGTGCTACAGTCTTCTGCCAGTCGTTTTTCCGCTGCGGCGCAAGATTCACGTTCACGGTCCTTGGTACCACAGCCTCGGGTTTATTTTCATAGGCTGCAGGCTCACTATTCCACAGGGGTCCGAGCAATATGTTCATCATATCCTCAGCAACATCACCGGTCATTTTGATACGTGGTGGACACTCTGGTTCTTCATGTCTCTTGTTCTTGTCTACTCTGCACTCGCTTGGAGTTTCATCTGTGGTAGTAGCTGCCGTGCACTGCATCAACCCCTTTGTTGACCAAGTGCTTGATACTGATCCTCCTGTATCAGTAGGAGTAGACACTGGAGGCCGTGGAGGACGCTCTTCATAGCGGGATGTCTTTGTGGTCCGTATATCTTGTAGCTTCTCTTTATCAGCATTTACAATCTGCATCATGTAAATGCATCAGAATACCTTCAGTGGTATACTTAGTTACTCAAAGCAAAACTTCGAACAGGATTGCTGGTTTGCTAGGCAGCCAGAAAATGTAAAAAGGGGGCGAAAAGTTGGTAAATTATTTTCTGTCACAGAATGAAATTAGGGCCTCAATTCAATGGAGAAGATGTCATTAGCACTCAGAACAAGTCTCCTATTATCATGCTTACTCATGTCTTCAAACTAATGATAGGACTGGACTGAAAAGAGTTTGCCTACACCATGCATGTTTGTCTCTTGAGAGTTGCATGTACAAATATAATCAAGGTGCAAGCCAGATCGGTCCATGATAAGTATTCACTAGGGTCACTCCTAAGCATAATGGGGCCATTGCCTATTGGCAAAGGTCACTTTTTTCCAATTATTTCTATAAAACAAGTAATGAGTTGTACTAGACCTGCCTGCGTCAATCAACAATAAAGCCAATAAATTGGGAAGCACTGCATAATTCCCAGATGTTCAGTGAAGTAATGAACAGGAACTAGCGTATTTAAGGGAATTGCATAACAACACCAGAAGATGTGTCAAACCTGAAGACAAGTAAAATAACAAAACTGCAATAAGAATTATGGTTTACCTCTTCAGCTATGCTCACAAGATCTTCCACAGTAAGCTCTATCTCATCATCAGTTGTACCTGATGATAATGCTTCTGATCCAACATTATCCGGCTTTTGTTTCTTGCTATTCTTCGGAGCAGCTCTGCCAGTCACTTTTGTGACATTCTTACGAGTTGTTTTCTCAATTTCTTCAAGTTCATCTTTGGCAGAATAATCAGCACTGTCACGCTTTCTTCTGGTCTTTTCTCTACCCTGACATCGTTGCAAAGCTCTGGAATTGCCAGCACTAAGCTCCATCTCATCATCAGTTATTCCTGATGACGATGCATCTGATCCCACATCCTCCAGCATCCGTTTCCTGCTATTCTTCGGAGCAGCTCTTCCACTAACTTTCCTCTCATTCTTACAAGTTATTTTCTCGATTTCGTCAAATTCATCTGTGACAGCACGATCAGCATCCTTGCTCTTTCTCCTGGGCTTCTCTTTACCCTGGCATCGCTGCAACGCCTTCAGCCCACCGGCATCCTCTGGATCCACAATTTTTTTCTGCCTTCTGGTGGGCTTAGCCTGATATAGAGCCCCTGACCCCTTATCAGATTCTGCCGACTGCTTATTCCGATGCTCAGTCTTTGACACCTCATTACTCGTGCAGGGTTTCATCATCCAAGGAGGTAGGCATCGCCGACTATCAGGGCATGCTTCAGCCATCCTCAAAGACAGGCCAACAGAATATACACAATGCCCTGAATTTGACTACCCAGTCTCAGTAGCAAAACAAATCAAGAAACTGATCGCAATTGAGCGAGACGATCTGAAACAATCAGCCACCTGCACAAGAATTAGAGCTTGAATAAACTATGTCGAATTTTCTCATCGTAAACAAACTCCCGTCGCCCCTCAAACTTGAGACTACACCGCAACCCCAAGAAAGAAAGAAAGAAGGCGAAATAAAAGGAAGGGGGCCCTAGCCCGATCCAACCCTAGAATCCAAGAAGCACCAATTTTCCCCGCTCTCAAGGCCCCAAGATCTGATCTTTCCGACGGGGCGACGCCGGAGGATTCACCGGCATCTGACCCCGCCCCACCTTCTTCCTAGCTGGTTGAGGGGAGAGGGGAGAGGGGAAGCGAGGAAAAGTCGGGTGTGCCGCGTGGCCGTGGCCGTGGGATTACCTCAATCAATGAGCCTACGTGGCCAACGGTGCGGTATGGGATTGCCGCAGTGGTTGGTAGGAGCTCCGGTCAGTGACGCCCTACGGCGGGGCGGAGCGGCTCGCTCAAGGCCGGCTGAGGACGAGACGACGGATTGGGATTTGGAAACTGTTTATGTTGCCTTGACCAGAGACTTCGAGAAAGGAAGGGGTTCATGGATAACTTGAAAGTCGGAGTAATTAAAAAGGCCCCAACGGCTCGTTGTACCGTTTGTATTGGTGAACTTTTCTAAGGTTAAATTTTTTTAGGGTTTAAAAATTTCTGCATTACCTTTTTTTCTTTGCGGGAATTTCTACATCTAGATCATTTCTTTGGGCGGCTTAAAAAATAAGCCGCCTCTCCCCAACTTAAAAAATAAGCCGCTCTGAAATTTTGTTGAGAGGCGGCTTACGAGAAAAGCTGGGAAGAAGGCGGCTTATCTTTTAAGCTACCAAAAGAACTGGCCCCTAACGTTATCTTTTGTAATTCAACATTTACTCACTTACGGTTAAAAAAAGTATTGAACTCATCCGCAAAAAAATATATTAAACTACAAGAACATCCTATATATTTAAGTTATGGAGTAGTATCATATTTTGTATAGTCCAAATAATCAGTGGTTCTAAATGTTCACGATGCCATTTTTCTATTCTTTTTGTTTTCCAGAGCATGTGTCTTTTTACATATTACAATATACTCCCTCCTTCTCATAATATAATACGTCTTTTGAGTTTAATAGTATTTTTTTACGGGTGAGTTCAATACTTATATTATGGGACGGAGTAGTAGAAAAGAAAAAGATATAGGCATTTTGAACATTTTTGGTCTGAGATTCTATAACTTTTTATCAGTTCAACACTTTAATATATGTGCATCCAACATTACAAAATATCTACACCTTCAAGGATTTGTTCCATAAATAGATAACTATTATACTGGACTACCGATCAACAAGCGGGTCCAATTTGATTGTGTCAAATTGCCAAACATCAAATGTCAGTGAAGCACCAAACAAAGCTTAAGATATATGACAATGCCTTATATATCATGGAGTTGTTGGCGAAAGAGTATTTTGGAGTTGCCAGAAAAGTACCAATGGCTATGTGGTTCTTTCTTTTCCTCTGCTCCAAGGTTCTGACCGAAACCCTAGCCTCCGCGAGGGCGCATCACCGAGTAAAGCCCATGCAACATCGGACTGATGGAGAGGTTGATTGGGGGCGGCCTGGTTGTGGAGAAGTTGGGGGCTGTTGTAGGATGGCAAACGATATCGGTTACACTATAAGAGAATTGCTCTGAATTACTATACATGAAAGTGCATTTATCAGTTAATGGTATTTTGGTGTGATGACAACGTGGTTAGTGAAACCAACGACAACTGCTAAGATTTATCTTAGGTCAATGGTTTCGTGGATATTTATTATGGAGATGTTGACCCCTCACTTCAAAAATATCAAAATGCGTGGTTTTTCGGTGACTTCGGTTTGATTTGAGTCATAAGATTACCATACTTTCAAGAAGGTCAAGGTGAAAGATTGACGGTGTGGGAACACACAAAACTCATGCACTTGCCTTCCTACACCTACCACCTATAACGAAGCTTGCTATCCATTTTTTCAATTTCCTCCCAGTACTCATAGGGAATGCCTATAGCCTATGGACATCCCCGTGTGGACGGACTAGTTTGATCCTATGGGCATGGGGTACTGCACTCACTTCTGGACACCGCGTGCACACTGGTCTGATAGAGGCGAAGGTGTCCCAATCTTTTGATGGGGAGTAACTATTGTTTTGAGTGGGGTAGACTTTGACGATCCGACTACTAACGTGCGAAGATGACACAACTTAGCAGTCTTAAACCAACTCCAGGATGTTATTGACCATGCTAGTGTTGGGGAACACAGTAATTTCAAAATTTTCCTACGCACACACAAGATCATGGCGATGCATAGCCACGAGAGGGGAGAGTGTCGTCCATGTACCCTCGTAGACCGTAAACGGAAGCGTGATGAGAACGCGGTTGATATAGTTGTACGTCTTCACGATCCGACTGATCCAAGTACCGAACGTACGACACCTCCGAGTTCAGCACACGTTCAGCTCGATGACGTCCCACGAACTCTGATCCAGCAGAGCTTCGAGGGAGAGTTCCATCAGCACGACAGCATGATGATGGTGATGATGCTACCGACGCAGGGCTTCGCCTAAGCACCGCTACAATATGACCAAGGTGGATTATGGTGGAGGGGGGCACCGCACACAGCTAAAAGATCAACTGATCAACTTGTGTGTTCATGGGGTGCCCCCCTCCCCCGTATATAAAGGAGTGGAGGAGGGGGAGGGCCGGCCCTCTACTATGGCACGCCCTGGGGAGTCCTACTCCCACCGGGAGTAGGATTCCCCCCTTCCATGTAGTAGGAGTAGGAGAGAAGGAAAGGGAAAAGAGAAGATAAGGAAGGAGGGGGCGCCGCCCCTCCCCCTAGCCCAATTCGTACTAGGCCTTGGGGGCGCGCGCAGCCTCCCCTCTCTCTTTCCCCTAAAGCCGAATAAGGCTCGTATACTCCCCGACGAATTCCCGTAACTCTCCGGTACTCCGATAAATACCCGAACCACTCAGAACCTTTCCGATGCCCGAATATAGCCTTCCAATATATCGATCTTTACGTCTCGAACATTTCGAGACTCCTCATCATGTCCTTGATCTCATCTGGGACTCCGAACAACCTTCGGTACATCAAAACACATAAACTCATAATATCGATCGTCACCGAACGTTAAGCATGCAGACCCTACGAGTTCGAGAACTATGTAGACATGACCGAGACTCATCTCCGGTCAATAACCAATAGCGGAACCTGGATGCTCATATTGGCTCCTACATATTCTACGAAGATCTTTATCGGTCAAACCGCATAACGGTATGCGTTGTTCCCTTTGTCATCGGTATGCTACTTGCCCGAGATTCGATCGTCGGTATCTCAATACCTAGTTCAATCTCGTTACCGGCAAGTCTCTTTACTCGTTCCATAATGCATCATCCCGCAACTAAATCATTAGTCACATTGCTTGCAAGGCTTATAGTGATGTGCATTACCGAGAGGGCCCAGAGATACCTCTCCGACAATCGGAGTGACAAATCCTAATCTTGATCTATGCCAACTCAACAAGTACCATCAGCGACACCTGTAGAGAACATTTATAATCACCTAGTTACGTTGTGAGGTTTGGTAGCACACAAAGTGTTCCTATGGTATTCGGGAGTTGCATAATCTCATAGTCAGAGGAACATGTATAAGTCATGAAGAAAGCAGTAGCAACAAACCAAACGATCATCGTGCTAAGCTAACGGAATGGGTCAAGTCAATCACATCATTCTCTAATGATGTGATCCTGTTAATCACATGACAACTCATGTCTATGGCTAGGAAACTTAACCATCTTTGATTCAACGAGCTAGTCAAGTAGAGGCATACTAGTGACACTCTGTTTGTCTATGTATTCACACATGTACTAAGTTTCCGGTTAATACTGTTCTAGCATGAATAATAAACATTTTAGGATCGAGAAGAGGTGTCTAGAGGGGGGGGGGTGAATAGACTCTTAGCAAGAAAGGTTGCGGTTTTTAATTTCTTTAAGTTGAAGTGGAGTTTTAGCACAAGTTTGAACATTCACAATACATATCAAGCAAGCATGTCAAGAGCATATGAGCAGCGGAAAGTAAATCATGCAAGTTGCAAGAATGTAAAGGGATGCGATTGGAGTGTGCAAACGCAAATGGAGACACTGAGATTTTTGGCGTGGTTCCGATAGGTGGTGCTATCGCACATCCACGTTGATGGAGACTTCAACCCACGAAGGGTAATGGTTGCGCGAGTCCACGGAGGGCTCCACCCAGAAGGGTCCATGAAGAAGCAACCTTGTCTATCCCACCATAGCCGTCGCCCACGAAGGACTTGCCTCACTAGGGTAGATCTTCACGAAGTAGGCGATCTCCTTGCCCGTACAAACTCCTTGGTTCAACTCCACAATCTTGACGGAGGCTCCCAAGTGACACCTAGCCAATCTAGGAGACACCACTCTCCAAGAGGTAACAAATGGTGTGTTGATGATGAACTCCTTGATCTTGTGCTTCAAATGATAGTCTCCCCAACACTCAACTCTCTCTCATAGGATAGGATTTGGTGGAAAGATGATTTGAGTGGAAAGCAACTTGGGGAAGGCTAGAGATCAAGACTTATGTGATTGGAATGAAGTATCTTGACCTCAACACAAGTGTAGGTGGTTCTCTCTCAGAAAATGTATGTTGGAAGTGTAGGCATGTTCTGATGGCTCTCTCTTATAATGAAGAGTGGGTGGAGGGGTATATATAGCCTTCACACAAAATCTAACCGTTACACACAAATCACCAAACTCGGTGGGACCGACTTGATCAACTCAGTGGGACCGATGTGCTAGGGTTAGGGTAAAGCCTCATCTCGGTTTGACCGATTACACAAACTCGGTGGGACCGATTTGGGTAATAA